AAGTCCTTGGCTCTGGGACCCTGAGAGAGTCCTCTGGAGACTCACGGGCCTCACAGGGTAGCGCGAGCATTCCTTACAGAGGAAGAAAACTTTCTAAAAGGCAAAATATGGAAAACAGTGTTTATACTTCAACTGTTATGTTTTTCAAAGAGAAAATGATCACATTTAAACAAATTTTGGATATTGTCACTTCTCATTCCTCAAGTTAATAAATGTCCCCCTTTGGCTATGTGATAGTCCAGATAATTCCACATTGTTGAGGTTGGAAAGGAAAATTCTGTAAAATCCCAAGTAATCTTTCCTTTTTTTTAACAAGTTGACATAATCCATCCAAACACTTGGGTGCCACATCTCTTGCTCTTATTGCAAGATCTTGGACTTATGGAGAAGAGGTATTCCTTCTCATTTACAAATCTAAGTAAATCATATAAGTAAAATTTTAAAGTTTTACTTTGCAGGTAAACTATATTATAAAATTATAACAGTATATAACTGGGCAAAATCACCAGTCAGAGGCAGTTTGTAAGTAATGAAAGAAAAATCTATCTCCATATTTATGTTCAAATGTTATTTCTGATGCCAAGTGGTTTTCGAAGCTTGATTACCCATCTTAATCAACAACCTTGGCTCCAAATAATTTGGCTCGTTCCAGAAGTCTAGACTTGTCTCCAATGACGAAGGTTTGGTATTACTAAGAATATTCAGAGGCATGGGTGGGAAGCTGTCAAGGCCATCCTCAAAACAGAGTTCCAATGCTGCTGTGAGAAATGGCAGCCCTGTAGACCAAGTGCACAGTCCTAGGCTGATGGCTTTGAAGGAAAAAGCACACATTTAGGTTTTTGATTCTGCCCTATTTATTTAAAAAGCAGTTGCTTTACTGTGGAGTCACTTCTTATATACCATTTTGACTTAGAAATGCATCTCTTCAAGATTCTTTTTTTTTGATGAGGAAGATTAGCACTGAGCTAACATCTGTTGATAGTCTTCCTGTTTTTGCTTGAGGAAGATGGTCCCTGGGCTAACATCCATGCTGATCTTCCTCTGCTTTGTATGTGGGACACCACCATAGCATGGCTTGATGGACAGTGTGTAGGTCCACACCCGGGACCCCAACCCACAAACCCTGGGCTGCCAAAGCAGAGCTCATGAACTTAACCACTGTGACACTGGGTGCACCCCCAGATTCGTTAAGAACTTGGAAACTGTTGGGAGCTGCCATGGTGTAAAGCACATAGGATCACCTAGCCCTACGATTTCTAGGGCCAGAGAAGAGGAGTGGTGTCAAGATCTATGGATTAAGCTGAGCCACTTGGCAACATGAACAGAGTTGCCCGCTGCCAATCACTACCTTCAGGAAAGAGTTCCCTTATCCAACTCTCTCTACTGTGTACAGCTATGTGGAATTTTAAATAGTGATACAGCAGCCCTTGCTGGCAGATTGTTTTATAAAGGTTTTTTTGAGTATTTTTATGTGCATTAATTCCCTATGTTTCTGTTAGTCAGGACCTTCCTGACTGCAAGTGGCAGAACTCCAACTAGCTTAAGAAAGGGGGGAAAATTTTGGAAGGCTACAAGTTTATCTCATGTGACCTAAATTCAAGCAAGGGAGGTATGTGGCTAGACTTTAGAGATAACAGGATCCAGACCTTCAAATGCTCTCAGAACTCCTACTCTCTCCAGCTTTCAACTGTGTTTCTCTCTGCCTGCTGGTTTTTCCCTCAACCACGGTAGAGCAATGTTCTCTATGTGGTGGAGAACACACGGCCAATGATGCCAAGACTTGCATCTCACAGCTCCTGCCACTAGGTTCGCCAATTGTCATTTCCCCTTTGTAGTTCAATCAAGTCCAGACAGGCACAACTCTAGACCCATCAACTGTGGCCAAGGAGGTCATGCAAGAACATGGCAGTCCCCACTGGGATCAGACGGTTGAAGAGGAAGGGGGTGGAGAGAGAAATTCTCGAGACAAGGAAGGTTTTGGGCAGAAAATGTGATAGCAGTCCACCAAAATTTCCAGCCAGGAATATAAGTGCCTCAGGGATAGAGGCAGTAGTGTCTCGAGTAGAATGTTCTGAATGCTCAAGGCATGTTTGAGACTGATGCCTTCCGGATAACCTTTAGGGCTTGAAAAATGTAACTGTTCTCCAAGCCATAGACGTGGTAAGAGCAAATCTCTCACATAGGTTACCTGTGCTGAAACTGCAGTTCAGGATCTGGGCTGTGGAGCCAGACTACCTGGCTTGAAATCCACCCATCCGGCTGCGTGACCTTGAGCAAGTTGCGTAAACACCTGGACCTCAACTTCCTCATCTGTTAAGTGGAGAGAGTACCTACCTCAGAGTGACATCTGAGGATTCAATGAGGTTTCAATACCTGTACCCGGCAAATAAATAAATGAGCTATGAGCTTAATAAATGTTAGCTATCATTATTGTGAGTCTCATAGTTACATAATTAGAAAAAGAAACTCTCCTGGAAAAAAAGTGATTGTGTCTTTGCATATGCTCCTTCTGCTGAGAGGCCCTTTTCCTTCTCTCTCAACGTGCAGAGCTCCAACCGTGCCACAGACCCAGCTTCACTGCTCTGGTTGCTCAAAGCATCCTAAAGGCAGAAAACTCTGGCACGCTGTTGTTGCGTTGCTAACCCTGCTCTCCCGGGGCTGTGCGAACTTTGAGAGTGTGGACTGGGTCTGATTCATTTCCAGATTTCAGAGTTTAGCAGATGAGAGAAGATCAATTTTTGGTGGGATGACTAAAAATGTGCACATTTCAATTTTCTCCTGTTACAGTTGCCTCTGCCATCTGACCTGGCATTTCTTCTTTCAGTCTTTGGCCTGTTGAAATTCTACCAACCCTTCAAAGCCTGCTTCAAATGCTATATTTTTGGTCAGGCATTCCCTGACCAGCCAGCCAGCTCTCTGCAATCTCCTAGCACACTTTTCCCCTCAGTCACATGGCATCGTCCTGTATTGTACATATTGGCTAACTAAAAATAAATGGTACATAGAGCTTTTGTTCTTATAATTGCATAAAGAAACTGTGTGGCCAAATAAATTACCTCTTTGCTTATAGGTAGAGTATATGTAACCAGCCCAGGCTTTAAAAACATCAGCCGGCAAAGACTTCCTTACAGCCAGCAAAGAGTCCTTTTATTTCCTACATTCCTGTACTTAACTTTAAAACTTGTTATGATATTCTTGGCAAAACGATTGAGCCTATTAAAGGATTTATTCTATTATAAGATAAATTGGGAATTCTGATTCATGACTCTATTAAATTTTAATTTAATTCAAGTTGTTAAGAGAAGCCAAATAATCTTAAGAAGCCAAAAGAAAATTTGCAAAAAGGAAGAAGAAATAAGTGGGATTTATGCTGTTTCCTGTAGGTGTCAGGGATCATATTAAAAAGTAGTGAGTGGTCTGTGGACAAAGTCCAGCTGCCAATTTTGGAAATGTGAGTTACAACTGGGGATAGCCAACATCCTAGGGGCCCTCGACTGTGGAGAATTATGGACGGAAGTATTCCCAGTCATGGAGTGTATATAAGTGCTTGTTTCTCCGTATTTATTATGGTTCCGGTGGTCATTTTTTTTTTCCAACAGGAGGCGCCCTATGAGGGGATAGAAATGCGAACAATTTGGCATTGGTTCTGGCTCCAGCTTGAGTCCCTTGCCCATAAAGACAGAGGACGTGATACCTATGTTGATGAGGATCTGAAGGCATGAGATCTGGGAGTGTGTGACTGTGAGCCACCATGTCCTTTGTGTTTCATTGTTGGCAAGCTGTTATTTTTCCATCCCACAAGTAGTAAGTATTTATTCATGGGATATTTTACCTAAGTATTCATTAGTATTAAAAACCGATGTGCTTTTAATACTTCAATGGTTACATCAAAACTGTTAAATTAAAAAAAAAAAGAGGAGAGAAGATCTTTCCTAAGCACTGATGAGATTTTCTAGGATGATCTATTTAAAAACACAGACACAAAATATTTTAAACCGTTATTTCTATTGGCTGGCTTCTAAATAGGTCACCACAACTCTGTCTTCAAAAGTCCAACAGAACAAGCTGAAACATTTAAAAAATGCAGGCATGTTGTGCCAAATAGTTTACTAGATTGGTCTGTTTTCCCAGTGACTTGATGGATTTCCAGAACTGATTCTTTTATCTGATTACATCTCCCAGCTTCCATCTCAAGACCTTGTATCATCTGTTTTTCTCCTCCCAACTCCCTCCCCCTTCTCTCTCCCTCTCCACCATCTCCTCGTCACCAGCACTTTCCTATCAGCCCAGAGACCCAAGATTTGACATCTCCAAAGAATCTTTCCTGCATCCCGACTCTCTTACACTTATCTTGTTCCCTTCTCTCCCATGCCAAGTATCCAGAAAAGAAAAGTCTATTCCTTCTGCCTCCACTTTAACTCCAGAGTCTGGCTTCTGCCTCCAGCTTTTACTGCAACTACCACTGCAACAGTGACTGACGTCTAGCTAATGCCTAACTCTATGGCATTCCTCCATTGCCCTACTCTACTAGGCACTGTTGACAACTCCTTCTCCATCTGGTCCAACTGCAACTTCACTTTCCTTGTTCAAGGTCATTGCTAGTTTTCGCCTCCTTTGTCAGTCTCCTTCAATGGCTCACCTTCCTACATGCACCCACCATTAGTGGTTGACTTTGATTTTGGTCCTCTTTCTGCTTCCTTATACCTTTTCACTGGTGAGCTCACTCATTCCCATGGTTTTAACGATAGCATGTTCCCACATTCTGATAACTCCAAATTTGGTATTTCCAGAACTGAGATGACCATAAATGACGTCTGATCCCATAACTTTGTGCTTTCAACTGTCCATTCCCTATATCGCTCTCAGTTATCTTTAAAAAATATAATTCTAATTATGTCACATCCCTGCTTAAAATTCCCCAATCGCTCCTCACCATGTATAGGATAGAGGCCAAACCCCTAAACATAGCACAGGCCTGGAAATTGCTTCTCAGTCCCTACCTGAGCTCCAATCACACCAAACGCCAGACCATCCTTGAACCTGCTGTGTCTAGAATGCTGCTAGGCCTCGGTTCCAGCTGATTCCTCTTCCTGATCTTCTTCTCCTTGGCTTTCAGGCTTGAGGACTCCTTATTTCTCAGGTCCAATTCAAATTTCACCTCCTCTGCGAAACTTTCTCTGATTCTCCCTTCTCCGAAGTCTAGGATAGAACAAATCCACTCCTCTATTGTGCTTTTATCACAGTTGGTTCATACCACAAGAGACACTATATCGTAATTATTGATGTGTCTGTCTCCTGCTAAAAGGTAGGGGCCCTTGGAGGCAGGATCATCTCTCACTCCTCTATCCATCTCATATCCTTAGTTCCTAACACCGTCTGGCACATGTAAATGCTCAATAAATGTGTATCGATTGATAAATGACTAAATTGACTAAACCAATTGATGGTTTTGGGGAAGTGAAGCCCCTGTCTATAATTAGATTATACCACATATCAAGGAACCCAAATAAAAAGATAATTTTCAAAAAAATTATAATCACTCTGATATTTTTTTCAGTATATAATCTCAGTGTTCTTGGGATTGTTATTGACAATGATGCATATATAAATATTGTTCATTTTGATGACAGTTATTTTATTTTTTATTTTTAGAGTCTTCTCCAATTCTCATCTAGAATTCTTAGTATCACTCCCTGCCTTTTTTTTCCCACCAAGGTTAGCTTTCATTACTTCTGGCCGTGTGGCTTTGCCTGTTTCAACTAACAGTTTTGCCTATGAGAACAGGTCCCACAACTGATACCATCATTTGGGAAGTCAATAGCTAGAAAGTGCTGAGCCATCGGAACAGAGCAGAGGAGCTGGCACATGACCCAAAGAGCACTGGGCCATTAGCCTGGCTCTAGCCTGTCCAGTAAAGCCGCTGCAGTCATGAAGATTCTTGTTTTTAGAACCTACAGGAAGGAGAGGTCACTTCCTCTGTCTATACTATTGACTTCTTTACTGGCCTCTCTCTCTTCTGCCACCTTATTCCACAGAGGATTTAAGGTAGCTTATTTGGTACGTAAATATATCAAGACAACAGACATTAGAAGGCACTTTTTAAAAGTCACTAAGACGGAGAAAGGGTAGAGAAATAAAATGGAGCCAGGAATGAGGCTAATTTCAAAGTGCTTATTACAAGTGTCTAAACACCTGCAAGAGGCAAAATTTAGTATCTCCAATTTGACTCTTGAGCCTTCCTGCAGCTAGTAGGAAGAGAAAAAATCTGATAAGCCATGTAATTCATGACAACTATAAGTAAAAGGAAAACCAGTTTCCCCACACAGCTATTGCCTGTGCTAGGACCTGAAGGCAGCTCCTGAAGAGGATCTCGGGTCCTGTGCTGCCTGACATCCTCAACCACAGCTGCATCATAGAGAAATATTCGCCTTTCTTTTAAAAATGACATTTGCAGGATGGAGTGTGATATGGTTATTCAGCTTGAGCATCATTTCAGGCAATGGCCCTTTGGTGAACTAGTCAGGATTGCTTTGGGTCCACCGTAATTTGGGCTTTTCTTACTGGACCTCCAGTGGGCTAAATTAGAGGTAGTTTCAGGACACGTACAGAGAAGTTCAGGACCAGAATTTGCTAACTCCGGAATTTGTTAACAATGGATAACTTCATACATTAAATAATGCACACCTGCACCTAGGCTGGCTGCTTAGTTTAGATGGAATGGTTCGTGCTTCTGCCTTAGGAACAGTTGATGGTAAAGAACAGGAGTGACAGAGTGTAGGGAGAAGGTGGGTGGGTCCACACTTCCTCATTTTTCCTTAAATAACAAAATGGAATAATATATTCCTAATGTGTCCATCCTCAGCACTGTAGGGCTGCTAACCTGGCCTGTTGGCCAACATCAGGAGAGCTCGTCTGCTCTCCACATCACTGCTCACTCTTGTCTTCTGTTATTCATGAGCCACATGACAAAGGCCAGCCCTGGGTGACTGCCTCGTCCCTCTTGTGTTTCTTGCTCTCCCTTCCTTCGCCCAGCGCCTGGCCTTTGTCCCAACAGCTGTCTCTGGTCTTCACCAGCAGTGAGTGGGGACATTCGCTGGAATTGACCTTCACCTATCCAGCTCCCCTCCATTTGTGCCTGTTCTGGCTGGCCTACCTGGCCTGGCCCAGCTTTCACTCTGTGACCCCTCCCTATCCTGTTCATTGATATCAGGAGCTGGACCAAATGTTCACATATTAGACAAATGACATGTTTGGTAGGAAAAGTTACAACATGAGAAATATATAGATACAAAACCACATGTCAAATACATTGATATTTGTTCTTAATCTTTATTTACCAAAGAGGAATGATTGAGGATCTAAACAGAAGAATATCTCCTAAAAAAATGTAGGTTCCAAATTTTGACTGGTTCAAATTTAATCCTTTGACTATAAACCACATGCCATCTTTTAGATTCTCATAGATCATCGAACAGGCAGGCTATTTTGGCAGAAGACCATATGCCTTGGGGTTTCTAAGGCATGTATGCTAAGGTCCAGGCCTTACTTAGTATTTTGGTTGAAATGTTTCTCCCTGTACATTGCAGCAGTTGCCAACAGTCCTTTAGAAATGGCTTCTTTCAGCAACTGTGGTTTAGAGCTTCCTCGTGTGCGGTTTTCTCTGGAATCCTGTACTTCTGCCTCTTTGGGGAACTTATTGTCTTGTGTAGAGGCAACTCAGTTTCCGTTGAACATTATTATTATCAATTACTACTTATTAGAGCCATGGTAGATATTT